TGAATGACGGATGTATTGGGCGTACATCACTCTGGCTCCTGGTCCTATATCTGATCTATGGGGTCGGGTCTGTAGCTGCAAATATATGGTTCCTCTATAAGGTGCTTAAGCATACAAGGTCACATGGCCCAATCAGTCGGCATACCCAGGAGAGATTGAAGCAATCTAAGTTGATATTTGTCCTGTGTATCAGTAACACACTCATGTTCGTGAGTTTATGCGTGGCTTTCTTTATCGTTCAAAATCTAACTTCAAGTGCACTCATGTGGAATATTGCGTACCCTTTACTTTTCATATCCAAAATGTACACTTTCCTCCGGCTGTATCTCCATCTGGCTCTGTACAGACCGTTGTTGGAGACCACGAAGACCCTCCTACGCTGCTGTCCGAGACACAACCGTGTTTCTGCCCTAGCCACAATACCCGTGACAGCTGCGGGGCCTGACCAGGGAACCGTCAATACTGGACACGCAGACAGTCGTGGAAACATTTCTGGACCACAACCGTGACATGGACGACTTGGGAAACGCCTGTCTACATATGTGTCCTTCAGCAATGAGATGCCAGGTGCCACTGTCTGGTATCTCACGTTTGCATTTGTCTCAAATCATACGTAATTGTTACAAACTTTTCTCGTGATAAATAGCTGAAAAAGCTCTGTAGCTCACCTTTTCCTCAGTAACCAATTGTCAAATTAAGCTGAAACTTCCCACGCTTGTAACGATGACATTCGTTCAAAAGGTCTGAATCTGTGTCTCAATATGACGCCACGGAGGGCATATTAAAATCCTGTATTTAACATAATTTTTTGGTTAATTAAGGCAGTGGTGTTGGTGGTAGTTGTAGCAGTTGTTTATTAGGGCGGTAGTGTTGGTCGTTATTGTAGAAGTTGTTAGTAAGGGCGGTGGTGTTGGTGGTAGTTGTAGCAGTTGTTAGTTAGGGAGGTGGTGTTGGTCGTAATTGTAGCAGTTGTTAGTTAGGGCGGTGGTGTTGGTGGTAGTTGTAGCAGTTATTAATTAAGGCGGTGGTGTTGGTGGTAGTTGTAGCAGTTGTTAGTTAGGGCGGTGGTGTTGGTGATAGTTGTAGCAGTTGTTAATTAGGGCGATGGTATTGGTCGTAGTCGTAGCAGTTGTTAATTAGGACGGTTGTGTTGGTCGTAGTTGTAGCAGTTGTTAGTTAGGGCGGTAGTGTTGGTGGTAGTTGTAGCAGTTGTTAATAAGGGCGGTGGTGTTGGTGGTAGTTGTAGCAGTTGTTAATTAGGGCGGTGGTGTTGATGGTAGTTGTAGCAGTTGTTAATTAGGGCGGTGGTGTTGGTGGTAGTTGTAGCAGTTGTTAATTAGGGCGGTGGTATTGGTCGTAGACGTAGCAGTTGTTAATTAGGACGGTGGTGTTGGTGGTAGTTGTAGCAGTTGTTAGTTAGGGCGGTGGTGTTGGTGGTTGTTGAAGCAGTTGTTAATTAGGGCGGTGGTGTTGGTGGTAGTTGTAGCAGTTGTTAATTAGGGCGGTGGTGTTGATGGTAGTTGTAGCAGTTGTTAATTAAGGCGGTGGTATTGGTCGTAGTCGTAGCAGTTGTTAATTAGGACGGTGGTGTTGGTGGTAGTTGTAGCAGTTGTTAGTTAGGGCGGTGGTGTTGGTGATAGTTGTAGCAGTTATTAATTAAGGCGGTGGTGTTGGTGGTAGTTGTAGCAGTTGTTAGTTAGGGAGGTGGTGTTGGTCGTAATTGTAGCAGTTGTTAGTTTGGGCGGTAGTGTTGGTGGTAGTTGTAGCAGTTGTTAATAAGGGCGGTGGTGTTGGTGGTAGTTGTAGCAGTTGTTAGTTAGGGCGGTGGTATTGGTGGTAGTTGTAGCAGTTGTTAGTTAGGGCGGTGGTATTGGTGGTAGTTGTAGCAGTTGTAAGTTAGGGCGGTGGTATTGGTGGTAGTTGTAGCAGTTGTTAATTATGACGGTGGTATTGGCCGTAGACGTAGCAGTTGCTAATTAGGACGGTGGTGTTGGTGGTAGTTGTAGCAGTTGTTAGTTAGGGCGGTGGTATTGGTGGTAGTTGTAGCAGTTGTTAATTAGGGCGGTGGTATTGGTGGTAGTTGTAGCAGTTGTTAATTAGGGCGATGGTATTGGTCGTAGACGTAGCAGTTGTTAATTAGGACGGTGGTGTTGGTGGTAGTTGTAGCAGTTGTTAATTAGGGCGGTGGTATTGGTGGTAGTTGTAGCAGTTGTTAATTAGGGCGGTGGTATTGGTGGTAGTTGTAGCAGTTGTTAATTAGGGCGGTGGTATTGGTGGTAGTTGTAGCAGTTGTTAATTAGGGCGATGGTATTGGTCGTTGACGTAGCAGTTGTTAATTGGGACGGTGGTGTTGGTGGTAGTTGAAGCAGTTGTTAGTTAGGGCGGTGGTGTTGGTGGTAGTTGTAGCAGTTGTTAGTAAGGGCGGTGGTGTTGGTGGTAGTTGTAGCAGTTGTTAGTTAGGGCGGTGGTATTGGTCGTAGTCGTAGCAGTTGTTAATTAGGGCGGTGGTGTTGGTGGTAGTTGTAGCAGTTGTTAATTAGGGCGGTGGTATTGGTCGTAGTCGTAGCAGTTGTTAATTAGGACGGTGGTGTTGGTGGTTGTTGTAGCAGTTGTTAATTAGGGCAGTGGTATTGGTCGTAGTCGTAGCAGTTGTTAATTAGGACGGTGGTGTTGGTGGTAGTTGTAGCAGTTGTTAGTTAGGGCGGTGGTGTTGGTGGTAGTTGTAGCAGTTGTTAATTAGGGCGGTGGTATTGGTCGTAGTCGTAGGAGTTGTTAATTAGGACGGTGGTGTTGGTGGTAGTTGTAGCAGTTGTTAGTTAGGGCGGTGGTGTTGGTGGTAGTTGAAGCAGTTGTTAATTAGGGCGGTGGTGTTAGTGGTAGTTGTAGCAGTTGTTAATTAGGGCGGTGGTGTTGGTGGTTGTTGAAGCAGTTGTTAGTTAGGGCGGTGGTGTTGGTGGTAGTTGTAGCAGTTGTTAGTTAGGGCGGTGGTGTTGGTGGTTGTTGAAGCAGTTGTTAGTTAGGGCGGTGGTGCTGGTGGTAGTCGTAGCAGTTGTTAACTAGGGCGGTGGTGTTAGTGGTAGTTGTAGCAGTTGTTAATTAGGGCGGTGGTGTTGGTGGTTGTTGAAGCAGTTGTTAGTTAGGGCGGTGGTGTTGGTGGTAGTTGTAGCAGTTGTTAGTTAGGGCGGTGGTGTTGGTGGTAGTTGTAGCAGTTGTTAATTAGGGCGGTGGTGTTGGTGGTAGTTGTAGCAGTTGTTAATTAGGGCGGTGGTGTTGGTGGTTGTTGTAGCTGTTGTTAATTAGGGCGGTGGTGTTGGTGGTAGTTGTAGCAGTTGTTAATTAGGGCGGTGGTGTTGGTGGTAGTTGTAGCAGTTGTTAATTAGTGCGGTGGTGTTGGTGGTAGTTGTAGCAGTTGTTAATTATGACGGTGGTGTTGGTGGTAGTTGTAGCAGTTGTTAATTAGGGCGGTGGTGTTGGTGGTTGTTGAAGCAGTTGTTAATTAGGGCGGTGGTGTTGGTGGTAGTTGTAGCAGTTGTTAGTTAGGGCGGTGGTGTTGGTGGTTGTTGTAGCAGTTGTTAATAAGAGCGGTGGTGTTGGTGGTTGTTGTAGCAGTTGTTAATTAGGGCGGTGGTGTTGGTGGTTGTTGAAGCAGTTGTTTATTAGGGCGGTGGTGTTGGTGGTTGTTGTATCAGTTGTTAATTAGGGCGGTGGTGTTGATGGTAGTTGTAGCAGTTGTTAATTAGGGCGGTGGTATTGGTCGTAGTCGAAGCAGTTGTTAATTAGGACGGTGGTGTTGGTGGTAGTTGTAGCAGTTGTTAGTTAGGGCGGTGGTGTTGGTGGTTGTTGAAGCAGTTGTTAGTTGGGGAGGTGGTTTTGGTCGTAATTGTAGCAGTTGTTAGTTAGGGCGGTGGTGTTGGTGGTAGTTGTAGCAGTTGTTAATTAGGGCGGTGGTGTTGTTGGTAGTTGTAACAGTTGTTAATTAGGGCGGTGGTATTGGTCGTAATTGTAGCAGTTGTTTATTAGGGCGGTGGTGTTGGTGGTAGTTGTAGCAGTTGTTAATTAGGGCGGTGGTGTTGGTGGTAGTTGTAGCTGTTGTTAATTAGGGCGGTGGTGTTGGTGGTAGTTGTAGCAGTTGTTAATTAGGGCGGTGTTGTTGGTGGTAGTTGTAGCAGTTGTTAACTAGGGCGGTGGTGTTGGTGGTAGTTGTAGCAGTTGTTAATTAGGGCGGTGGTGTTGGTGGTAGTTGTAGCAGTTGTTAATTAGGGCGGTGGTGTTGGTGGTAGTTGTAGCAGTTGTTAATTAGGGCGGTGGTGTTGGTGGTAGTTGTAGCAGTTGTTAGTTCTGAAATTGGTTCATACCAATAAGAACTCAATTTTGTTGTGTCCAACAAAAATATGTTTTGGATTCATTGCAGCACAAAATATAGATGTGTGGTACGTTTTTTCACTTGTATCAGTTATATGTATGTTAACGATTGACATGCCTTTGCATGTGTTTTGTAACGGATGCCGATGCTGGGGTAGGTTAGTCTCACCTTCAGTAGAGATTTATGGAAATGGTTCTATAATAACATAATTATGGTGAAACCCCTGAACACTGGAATGACGCTGACGAACCAGGGTTAAAAGTTCTAGGATTTAAAATCTTAATCCTCAAGGGACGACACTCTTCACAGCAAATTGTGGCGCTTCAGACAGTGGGTCATCAAGGCTGGGGCTGCGACTGATACGGAGTCTGATTTTAGTAGTGTTGTTATTTCCGTCACTCTGTAATAAACATGTACGCAATATACTTGGGTTATGCATTTCACTCCTATCTGTCAACAGTGTTGATAGAAAATAATTATGTATATGCGTCCTGTTGTTCAAACGGGGAACGTTCGGCGTAGATAGACGGGGAGCGACCGGCGTAGATAGATGGGGGGCGACGGGCGTAGACGGACGGGGGGCGACGGGCGTAGATAGACGTTGGGCGACGGGCGTAGATAGTCGGGGGCGATGGGCTTAGATAGGCGGGGGATGGGGGTGGGGCGACCGGCGAAGATAGACTGGGGGACGACAGGCGTAGATAGACGGGGACGACGGGCGTAGATAGACGGGGGGCGACGGGCGTAGAAAGACGGGGGCCGACGGGCGTATATAGACGGGGGGCGATGGGCTTAGATAGACGGGGGCGACGGGCGTAGATAGACGGGGGGCGACGGGCGTAGATAGACGGGGGCGACGGGCGTAGATAGACGGGGGCGACGGGCGTAGATAGACGGGGGCTACGGGCATAGATAGACGGGGGCGACGGGCGTAGATAGACGGGGGCGATGGGCGTAGATAGACGGGGTTGACGGGCGTAGATAGACGGGGAACGACGGGCGAAGATAGACGGGGGCGACGGGCGAATATAGACGGGGGGTGACGGGCGTAGATAGACGGGGGGCGACGGGCGTAGATAGACGGGGCGACGGTCGTAGATAGACGGGGGGCGATGTGTGTAGATAGACGGGGGCGTAGGTAGACGGGGGGTGACGGGCGTAGAAAGACGGGGAGCGACAAGCGTAGATAGACGGGGGTGACGGGCGTAGATAGACGGGGGGCGACGGGCATAGATAAACGGGGGGCGAGGGGCGTAGATAGACGGGGGCGATGGGCGTTAATAGACGGGGGCGACGTGCGTAGATAGAGGGATTGGGGGGACGGGCGTAGGTAGACGAAGAGCGATGGGCGTAGATGGACGGGATGCGATGGGTGTACATATTTATGACGTACTTATTTGAATAACTGAAAAACTAGTGTTATTAACTTTATTTATTCAGTAGTGTATTTTAAAAAATCTGTATTAAAATGAATTTGCATTTTATTGATGAGATGATTGAGATAATGACAGATGCCTAACTCGAGCTTGCGTTAAAGATAAATGAAATATAAGTATTTCAAAAATTTGAAAATTACAATTTGCATAACACTAGTTCTGAGACGTTCACTGAGTACATTAAGCTCCGTTCTTCCGGTAGCAGTTGCCAGTTGCACCAATTGCATACACAAGTCTTCAGCAACCCATGCTTGCCGTAAGAGGCGACTATGCTTGTCGTAAGAGGCGACTAACGGGATCGGGGGGTCAGGCAAGCTGACTTGGTTGCGTGGATCGATGCTCAAGACGTCAATCACTGGATTGTCTTGTCAAGACTCGATTATTTACAGACCGCCGTCATATAGCTGGAATATTGCTGAGTGCGGCGTTAAACAACAAACAAAGCATACAAAAGTTGATGTTTGTTTGTGGCCTGACGCCGCACAGCTGTATCGAGTCTGGACCAGACAATCCAGTGATTGACATATTGAGCATCGATCCACGCAATTGGGCTGACCATATGACCAGACAATCCGATGGTCAAGGACCAAACATTTAAATATCAACTGCCGAAATCTGCCTGTAACGCAGCGTTGGGGGATACTTTGTTGTGGTCAATTAATCGATCAGGGGTTCAAATTGGTATAGGGGCGGTCGGGTAGCCTAGTGGTTAAAGCGTTCGCTCGTCACGCCGAAGACCCGGGTTCGATTCCCGACATGGGTACAATGTGTGAAGCCCATTTCTGGTGTCCTCCGCCGTGATATTGCTGGAATATTGCTAAAAGCGGCGTAAAACCATACTCACTCACTCACTCAAATTTGTATACGACTATGCTTGTCGTAAAAGGCGACTAACGGGATTGGCCGTTTCCTTGTATATATCAGAAGTACGGAAGGCCGGTAGTCGCACATGCCACAATTCGTTTTCGAGTCCCTGAGCTGGGTCTGTTTTCACTGATAGTGTTTGGATCCCTGTCAGGGTCTTCGATCTGCCAGCATCACAACCACGCATATTGGTTTAAACATAAAACAAAACCTGTGTCACTATTGGCTTTCCTTTCACGCCGACCCGTGAAGATCCGGGGTAGAATAGGTCTTCAGCAACCCATGCTTGCCGTAAAAGGTGACTATGCTTGTTGTAAGAGAATGGTCAGGTTCGCTGACTTGGTTGATGCATGTCATCGAACCCAATTGCGTGGGTCGATGCTCATGATGGCAATCACTGGATTGTCTGGTCCAGACTCGATTATTTACAGACCGCCGTCATATAGCTGAAATATTGCTGAGTGCGGCGTTAAACAACAAACAAACAAAACAAAAATCAATTTGGTATCATACAAGTGAGTAAGTGAGGTGTTAATTTAGCGCCTCTTTGAACAGTATTTCATGATGTTTGTTATCTGCGGTAGCTCTACACGAAAACAAGTAAATATATATCTCCTAAATAACTCAGCTTTAATTGTGAAAAGATATATATCAATTTTGTGTTATCATTTTTGCATAAACAGTGGCGGTTTCTTCACCTACGGTTATAAACGTTCTAATATGAAAGTTAAATTCACGTTCTTCCACGAAAAACATGCTTTCAAAACATATTGACTTCAAGCCCGAAGCATTTTCCTCTGAGTCAAAGGTATTCAACGGAAATTTAAACCGACGCACCCAAACCTTATCGCACCTGTAAATTACAGTTAGAGTGGACAGGTACATGTTCCTCGCGGCGTTCTTCTAGCACAAACATGGTAGGCAAACAAGACGAAGATAGAATTTGATGTGCATATAATGTGATGCAGGTTAGACATAAAGAATTACAGATGCATTATTCATGAACAAATTTCATATTTTGCACAATAATGAACGATATTATAATTCTTTTATTCATCATATTCAGATACATCATCTCTTTGAACTAATAACTAATTATAAATATACTTAATACTATTGAATAAGATTCAGTTTACTTTGTTACTCGTGTCCCACAGCTGCTCAGTTCTCCCTAACTGTGAGGCGCGGTGGGGTAGCCTAGTGGTTAAAGCGTTCGCTCGTCACGCCGAAGACCCGGGTTTGATTTTCGACATGGGTACAATGTGTGAAGCCCATTTGTGGTGTCCCCCGTCGTGATATTGCTGGAATATTGCTAAAAGCGGCGTAAAACCATACTCACTCACTCACTCCCTGAATATGATGATGTTTGGCTCAGTTTACAAGTCGAATGATGATAGATTGATTGAGTGAGTGAGTGAGTAGGGTTTAACGCCGCTTTTAACAGTATTCCAGTTATATCGCGGCGTGTCAGCTTAATGTGGGAGGAAAGCCCGAAGTGATGCAGGTCTCAGACGTTTACCACTTCGGTGAAACCCACGTACACGGGTATGGTGCTGACAAACCTAGAAACATAATCGGGGCGAACCGGGACTCGAACCCACAATCATAGGTTTCTGGCGTGCCCAACGGACGCAACTCTGCACAGCGAATCGCGGCGCCTTAGACGACTTGGTCACCCGTGCCCCCGATGATAGATTAATGATAAATGTAAGATATAACGTCTTAGGGGGCACGGGAGACCATTTGTCTCGGGCGCTGCAACTCGCTATGCAGAGTTGCGTCCCTTAGGCGTGACGTAAGCCCGTGGACGTGGGTACGAACGCTAGATTATGTTCCTAGTTTATCAGTATAATATCCGGACTCATGGATGACGTCACTGCATCATGTCTGGTTTTCCTCCGCGAATGATGTGGTATAACTATTATATATGGTTCAAAGCCGTGTCAGCGTCTGCCTGGAGAGCGGAAGGTCGGTGGTTCAATCCCCGGCTGCGTCATACAAACAGACGTTAACAGATGGAACTTCTTGTTACCCTGCCTGGCGCTCAGTATGAAGGGTATAAAACAAGGACTGGTCGGCTCGGAGTCAGTATACTGTGTCTGGGTGGACTATTCATGATAAACTGACATGGTATCTCGGGTGTTTTCACTATAAAACTATAAAACTGGCATTAGGGCGGACTAATACAACCACACACACGAGCGCCGCCACACACATACATGCACGTCGCTATATACATGCAATAATTTTGAACGCGACGACTTGATTATTTCAATTACAACATTTCTATATTTTTAATTAATAGTTTTAAAGGAAATCTATTATGACAGCCGGACCGTCAACACTTATGTATATACCCAAGGGTGAATGACAGAAGTTCGCCCGACTTCGCAGTATGCACTCAATTCTTAATTTCTTTTTAATATCAAAGGCAGAATGCATTTGTCTGGGGGTGGTTGATTTAATTATAATCATATTCATGATAATACGACAAACGGTTATGACAAATCTGCACCGAATAAATACAGCCTAATATTCAAAGAGGTTATGACATAGTAACAATAAAATCCTATTGCACTAAGTCCCCCATCGAGGTTGTTGTTGCAAGTCATCTCAGATCTTCCTGGAACAACGCGCACCAACGGGAGGGGCTCGTATACAGATGAACTGCTGGGGGGGGGGGGGTTTACGTGACGTCATAGCGACCTTTGACAGACGCAAACGAGATAAATGTACGTGTACCTGGCATGTTGGTGCGATGCCCATGACATTTAACACTGCATGGAATGTATGCAGGTAGGTGACAACTACTTCACATGTTCACATGCTTGTACGGTGGGGGATAATGGGGACTTATGAAGTACGAATGTATGCCGCCATTACATGTAGGTTTAATGTATTTTCGTGCTGTGCATCCTCAAGAAGACTAAACTGGTAAATATTAAAATCACGTTGTTATATAATGGGGAGTTATCGTTCATTGTAATACTTGCGATTAAATGTAGGTTTACTCGATTTTTGTACTGTGCATCTACAAGAAAATTAATTATTTGCAAGTAAAAAGTATTTATATTATTATATACGTTGTGATATAAAGGAGAATTATTGGTGACTGTTGTAATGGTCATTAAATGTAGGCTTAACATATGTTCTACTTTGCTATTATAATAATAATAATGATGATGATGATGATGATGATGATGATGATAATAATAATGCTGTCCATGAAACTGGTCAGTTTCTGGTATATTTTATTTTATTGATATGCAGTTATAGTTTAAAAAATATAGTATAAAATATATAAAAAATGACTGTTTAAGAAGAAACATTAAAAACACGTATGACCGGTTTCAGAGATAAATGTATTCCAGAAGTTACATGTTATGGCTGTGCGATCGCTCGAATTGTAGTGATTACCAATAGCGAAATGAAAATTAAACCCGCCCCAGTTGAAATTTCAAAAGGATGGCCCCGTTTTCGTTTTATATAGTGTGGGTATAGTTATTAATCCCCCTCTCCTTTAGAAAGTATATAATTATGGACTCCAATTTATAAAACAAATATACCTTAGTTCTATTTAACTTCAATGACCTGAAATCTGTAATAGTGTTCCTTGATTCCTTGATGGACCAAACATGGTGACCACAGATATAGTATACTAACATATTTTTCTTCAGTGAGTGAGTGAGTGAGTATGGTTTTACGCCGCTTTTAGCAATATTCCAGCAATATCACGGCGGGGGACACCAGAAATGGGCTTCACACATTGTACCCATGTCGGGAATCGAACCCGGGTCTTCGGCGTGACGAGCCAACGCTTTAACCACTAGGCTCCCCGACCGCCCCTATTTTTCTTCAGAGGTTCAGGACAATTTTTCAAAAATGAAATCAAATGTTATGTGAAGATTTCAGAGAAACACAATAGGCGAAATGCCGGAATTACTTTATGATACCATATATGTGAAATGTGGGGTTGAGACATTTAGGCAAGTAGTAGGCATACCCATGGACACTACCGTAAATCTTCAAATTAACGCGAGCGTAAATTAAATGCGAAAAATGCGAGTGGTCTTTGTTCGCATTTATGTCTCCAAAATGACTATCAACAAAAAGACGGCCTCGCTGCATATTTTGCTAATAAGCGGTGGTATTTGTGTTTGATTGGATAAATGGTGAGGATATGTATCATTCTACGGGGGATGGAGTGAGGGGAGTCTCGTTGATTTTGAGTCGCATTTTTGGCTAGGGGTCAGCAGTCGTATCAATTTGGGGGCGCATTAATTTCAAGATTTACAGTAATTGTGTTGATCTCTTTTTTCATGCATATAAGTAGCAATTTCTGCTCGGATTGGTAAAAATAAAACAAGGAATTTGGACAAGAACTTTAACTAAAGCTTCAGATCTGATATTGTTCAATAACGGTCAATTTCCCTTCCACTGATTTCTCAGCCGCCTCGTGGTCTAGTGGTAGAGCGTCCGCCCGGAGAGCGGAAGGTCCGGGGTTCGATCCCCGGCCGCGTCATACCAAAAGACGTTAAAAGATGGTAGTTGTTGTTACCCTGTCTGGCGCTGGGAATTAAGGGGCTAAAACAAGGACTGGTCGGCTCGGAGTCAGTGGTATGCGGCATGGTATCTCAGTGAGCTAGCACTATAAATCGGCATCAGTCCGGACTAGTACAGGAGCCACACACACACACACGTGCATGCACGTCGCTATAAAAGTGCAATAATCTTTGACGCGACGTTAAACCCAATTTCAACTCACCTTATTTCTCACCTGAACTAGAAATGAAAGAGACCTAAGCACTCTCCACAAGACAGTATGACAAGAGGGATGGCTTCAACTTACAAAAGTCAACTTTCCCTTCATTTCGAGTGATGTCCCAGAAGCTCCAACCTTTGGCGTCTACATTACACAACTGAGTGAGTGAGTGAGTTGGTTGGGTTTAACGCCGCTTTTAACAGTATTCCTGTCATATCACGGCGTGTCAGCTTACTGTGGAAGGAAAGCCCGAAGTGATGCAGGTCTTAGACGTTTACCACCTCGGTGAAACCCACGAGCACGGGTATGGTGCTGACAAACCTAGAAACATAGTCGGGGCGAACCGGGATTCTAACCCACAATCATAGGTTTCTGGCGTGCCCAAGGGACGCAACTCTAACCGCCATTACACAACCGTTAAGGCACAATCGAGATAACTTTCTACGAAGATTTCAAAGAACTTCATACGAACCTTGCCAAGAGCTAGGGATTACATCCGAGGCCACAGTAAAACTTTCAAATAGTTTTATGGTAGACTTGTGCAGGACATTTCAAAATTTGACGCATCCATGATAAAAAATATTCCTTTGTCTTGACTTGTTCCTTTACAATAAACTACGGTTATAACGAACTCAAAGGGATCACTAATTTTAGTTCGTTATAACCTTAGTTCGTTACAAGCATATATGCAGCATATAAACAGCACGTGGTCAGGAAAAAAACAAATAAGTACGTTATATCCGACAGTTCGTTATAAGCGTGTTCGTTATAAACGTAGTTTACTGTATATGTGTTTTGTGTTTTTTTCAGGTGAACAATTAACTTGCTGTTGCATGAGTATGTGAATTTGTAAATCGAACACCTGGTGTCAGCACTATTTGATAGCGATTCATAAACACATGATTATGATATGGCTGTAGAATGGACACTGATTTTTGTAGAGATTTCTTATGATTATGAAAATGGTTTGTGTCGCATATATTAACTGTTATCCTCATTATCATCTTCCTACTTCATTTATGGGGTCGGAGGGTTAGCTTAGTGGTTCAAACGTTCGCTCGTCACGTCGGAAGCCCGGGTAAGATTATTTACGTGTGAAGCCCATTTCTGTGGTATATTGCTAAAAGCGTCTCTCTCTCTCTCTCTCTCTCTCTCTCTCTCTCTCTCTCTCTCTCTCTCTCTCCCCTCTCTCTCTCTCCCTCCTCTCTCTCTCTCCCCCTCCTCTCTCTCTCCTCTCCCCTCCCTCCTCTCTCTCTCTCCCTCTCTCTCCTCTATCTCTCTCCCCCTCCCCTCTCTCTCTCTCCCTCCTCTCTCTCTCTCTCTCCCCCTCCCTCTTTCTCTCTCCCCCTCTATCTCTCCCCCCCTCCCCTCTCTCTCTCTCGCTCCCCCTCCCTCTCCCCCTCCCTCCTCTCTCTCTCTCTCTCTCTCTCTCTCTCTCTCTCTCTCTCTCTCTCTCTCTCACCCACTCACTCACTCACTCAACAAATCCTCTGACATTTTATATGACAACAAAATGATACAAAATTCACCTGTCTCGACCTTCATCAGCCTTCATAACAGTGAAACGGATATAATTTGTTGGCAATCTGAAAAACAAAGTGAGATAACGGTACCTTCTAGAGTTACTTTGAGGGAATATATAATTATGTAACTCTCTAACCATTTATTTATAAATGTTCGTGTGTAAACCTATACAAGTTCCCATCTAGTTTAAAATATATTAAAAATGCATCACAAGCACACACCATATCTTGTACGTATATAGCTGGTTGGAGTCACATGAAGAACACTGTGACATTTCATTCAAATGTCAACCATCAGACATGTTGATGGCTGTTTTATCTTATTGTATTTTCGTCACGTGGACGACAAATGGATTTATGAGGGGTAATTGCCCCAGATTATATTAAATATATTTTAATACGACAATTATGTTCGCTGTGTCATGTACACTAGTACTGACATATTGTCTCTAGGGCGTCACCATGGCAACATAAACGATAACTCTATTCCATGACCTGGTACCCATTTCCACTGAAGTGTTCAATTGAGTGTGAAACTGGGATATTTATGTAATTATGGTAATATTAGTTGCTACAGTAGGGGCGTATAGAAATACATCCTATCGATACACATCGCGATACTTTTGTCACAACACGAGACTTAATGCGGTACTTAGTTAGGCCCGTGAAGATCTGGGGTAGAATAGGTCTTCTAGTCTGTCTTACAGACCCTGATACAAATGTATATCAAATACAGCCCATGCAAGTCTATAATGTTTGGCAAGTCTAGATCACTTCAGTATCTGAAAATGAAGAGAGTCACTGGGCTCCTTTTTATTATATTTTTATTAAGATAACTGAACAACTTTTTTTTTATGTACGATGATATGTTCATTTCAGAGACTAGATTTTAGTCTATAGGTCTTCATCAACGCATGCTTGCCGTGAAAGGCGACAATGTTTGTCGCAAGAAGCGACTAACGGGATCGGGTGGTCAGGCTCGCTGACTTGGTTGATGCATGCCATCGTATCCCAATTGCGTGGATCGATGCTCATGATGTCAATCACTGGATTGTCTTGTCCAGACTCAATTACTTACACACCGCCGTCATATAGGTGGAATATTGCTGAGTGCGGCGTTAAACAACAAGTCATGGGTTGCTCGTTTTTATTTATTTATTTATTTATTTATTTATTTATTGGTATTATTATTATACAGTAAACTACGGTTATAACGAACTCAAAGGGACTACAAATTTTAGTTCGTTATAACCGTAGTTCGTTATAAACACATATACAGAATAATACAGCAAATAGTCGGACCAAAAAAGTACATTGTATGTTCGTTATATCCGTCAGCTCGTTATAAGCGTGTTCGTTATAACCGTAGTTTACTGTACTATTATTATAATTTTATTTACGATTTCGACTTGTTGAAGATAATTAATCCAGTTTCAGATGTCAAGACATTTTCACAACAACTTTCTCTGCAAACCGAAATACGTAACACAATGACACAAACTAATTGTTCT